CGCGGACTGGGCAAGGCCATGGAGGAGGACACCGGGACGGAGACCTGGCACCGAAGCCTCCAGGCAGTGCTTAACGCCTTGAACCAGACGCTGCACGGGGTGGTCCTCTGCCCCACCGACCGCCCTGCCGCCACCGCCGCGCGCAACGCCAGCACCCGCGCCGGCCGCGCCGGCCGCAACGACAACGCCTACATGTACATCCTCTTCGTCATGACGCTTTTCGCCGCCACGGTGGGGAGTCTCATCCTGGGCTACACCCGCTCCCGCAAAGTGGACAAGCGCAGCGACCCGTACCACGTCTACATCAAGAACAGGGTCTCCATGATCTGAGCCCGGTCCCGACGCCTCGTCCCCCCGGGAGACGGTGGGTTTGGGGTCGCGTCGCTGCCACGCATCCCGCTGTTTGTGGGATGGGGCAGTGCTGCCGGCCAGCCCGGCCCCAAAGCTGCTGGGACCCCCCCCACCCAGTGCCATCGTGGAGGTGCTCAGCCCCGGTGTGAGCGGCACGGGGACGTCCTGGCCGGACCACGGGTCCCGTCTGGCAGGAGCTGGCAGGGTGCGACCCATGGGCAGGTACCGGTCCTGCAGACCCACCTCGGCTGAGCCCTGGGGGGACGGGGACGGCAGAGGCATCTCCTTTCCCACCGTGGGTCTTCAAGGAGGAAAATTCACCATTTCCCTCTTGGGTGGGCCAGCGTTGACCTCCTCGGGCTCCTGGCAGCTTCGTGACACGGGCTAGCGGGCTTTTCTGGTGCTAAAACCCTGTAATTTTTGAGATGGGCTGGGCCCTGCCTTTCTGGCAGGGAATTAAAGAAGGTGGTGGTTTCCAGTGGGGTCACGTTTGCTTCTTCTCCGAGCAAAGCGCTCTCTCGGCATCGGGGGCGATCCGTGGGGCGTCTCTCCGTGCCGGTGCCCTGCCCTGGCTGCTGGAACCCCGGGGGATGCTGTCAGGGCTAAATCCCTCTCCCTGCACGCTGCCGAGGGGGCATCAAGGGCAACCTCTTGCTGGTATCGCAGCCCCTGTCCCAGGACAGGAGGTG